TGGATCGCAAGGGTAACTTCTCTCAAAACTGCCTCACAGCATGTTCATTTGACCTATCCTTTACCTACATGTTGAGCGGTTGGGAGGGGTCAGCTGCAGATGCCCGTTGTAGAGATACAACAATTGCTGGACACTACACAAAGTAAGTAGCCAGCAATATAAAAATGTGTTGTGGTCGTGCACAGCCTAGTCTGCTATACTTGCAAGACAAGTGCATTTGACCCAAGGGGTTTGCTGTATGGTATTAGAATAATCAGTTATAACAAAAGGAAGATAGTCCGAAGTGCGGGAAACAAAGTCCAAAGGTATAATTACAAGTCCAATGTCAAAAATGTCGGGTCCGATGTTTTCGGGTTTCGGGTTAGCGGGTTTGCCTCGGGTTGCATCGTGTTAGCGTCAGGTTTGCGTCGGGAATATAGCGAATGTCGGGGATAGCAAACGGCGGGTTACTGTCAGATGTTACAGATAAAGAAAGGATGATATTGTGGAATCCAACTAAGAACTACGAATATCGGATGACCTCCTCCTACTCGGAGGTAGAAAGGTAAGTAAATAGGTAGGAGGTATGTGAGATATATAGTGTCTATGTAGAAATTCAGAGTGCTATAGGCGAATGTAGTAGCGCTGATTTTCGGGTCCGATGTCCCATGTAATAAGACATGATGTACTGTGGACATGTAATAACGCGTTCTACAATGTTAGCGACATGAAAATGAATAACTGCGCACCTAGTGGGGATAGATACGACAGGACAAGACATAGGGAGGACAAGTGCGCGGGAAAATATCGGGTCTGATGCGCGGGAAATGTCAGGTCCATCGGATTAGCATCAGGTTTGGCGGGTTAGCGTCGGGTTTAGTGGGTTAGTGTCGGGTTTAGCGGATAAACATCGGATTTGAGTGGATGAGTGTCGGATAACATTGGAAGTGATTCGTGTGTTTGACATGCATGGGAAAATAGCTGAATACGAGCCTAGCACAAGCTCAAGTGCTACACCGTGTCTATCACGATGCTCAGACTACCGATTTCAATATCCCTGAGGGAAAGTATTATCTTGTGGACGCTGGATTTGGCTCGTGCAATGAGCTTCTGGTCCTGTTTTGGGGCGTGCATTATCATCTTGCAGAATGGGGTCATGCTAATACTTTGTATGATGTGTTCTGCTAGTACCATTCATACTTATGTTTACATCATTACATAGGCCTCGTAATCGTAAAGAACTATTCAATTTGTGTCATGCAATGCTCTGAAATGCTGTTGAGCGCATTTTTGGTGTCATCAAGCGCCGATTTCATATCCTTCTCCTCCTGCCAGAGTATAAAATGAACATACAAGCACATATTCCTCCTGCCTTGTGTCTTGTGCACAACGTTATTCGAGTTCACGATCCAAATGACATGATGGACTACTGTAATGCGTTAGATGAGCACTTTCTGACTGACATTGGAAACCTTGCTAATAGTCCTCCTATGGAGCATGCACGCACTCGTGTGAGCCTCCGTCGTGACCAGATTGCTAGTGAGATGTGGGAGGACTACAACAGGGAAAGGATTCAGAGGGGGGAGCAGGCAATCATAGAACCACCAGTACTGTAGTCACATTAGTACCATAGCTGTCAAGCAAGACCGGACTCTCATTAATGACTACGATCCAAAGTATCTCCATCAAATGATGACATTGTTGTCAGATCAAGATCAGACTCTCATTGATGACTATGATCCATAGAAACAGTGATATTGCTTTGCTACAAGTACAATACAAGAGAACAGTGTTAGAGGTGTTGGCCTCAAGAGTGGTGGTTGCATGCACAAATGTTGTGTTAAGACCGACAATACTAGTTCCCATCTGCTGGATGGCCACAGGCATTGTCAGGCGTGCAGATTTCCCTGAATCTCCTGATTTTGTTGAATGTGGGGGGCGGGTAGCGATATCAAGCATACTTTTGTCATCATCAATCATTTTCCGTTTACCAGAAGCAGTTGATAATAGCGCACTAACACGGACCGACTCAAGGGAGGGTTGCTGTGCAGCGTTAAATGAAGGGAGGCTCTCTGAGCTGACGGAGGTTGCACGCTGACCGCCTGAAATAGAGCCAGTGAACTCGATCCCATCGAGTGCATCTCCAAGGTCCATCATATGGACTTCATCAAAGGAAAGGGAGGTGACTGCACTGCTAGGAGAAGGCGAAGGAATGATGGGACATGGTGTCGCGATGGTGGCAAAGAACGAGTTGTTGTTACCTGTCTTGACAGGTATGAGACCTTCCAGCGACTCATAGTGTTTCCAACCCTTATCCCTTTGGCCTTTGGCCTTTGGATTTTTCTATTGGTTCATAGTAATTAGCATTGTCATAGTAGTTTGATGCAAATTAAAATCACTTTACCTTCACAAAGTCGGTCCACATGTTTTCTGACTCTGGAGTGATCGAAGCTCCGTGTTCCATGCTGTAAGATAGTCCAGAAGTGTTGGCCACTTTGTCGATGACATTGAACGTAGCACAGAGCTGAAACTCGATCATCAGTGAGGGTACCAAGGCTGATATAGTAGTAGTACATACCTGCCCCTATTTTGATTGACATGCTACTGCTGTTTTGCTTGCACCCAAGTAGGGGTGTTTTTCTATTTCAGCGGCAGCAGCAACCCAAAACGTGTGATCAAAGTTCATACCATCACCACCTTGTGAACAGTTGGTGGTGACATAGTGGATGAGGACAGTTTCATCTGCTTCCGTCCACACACACCGATCTCTCGGTTCCATGAGCTCTGCACCACCTGCACCACCATGGACACTTTTTCTGCCCCAAGACATCCTGTAAGAGTTGCGATGATGGATAGATTGTAGACAGATAACAGGCATGCCTACTAGTATTGACTGATTGAGGTTGGTCACACTGTGACCAGCACAGTACAATTATGAAAGCCAAAATATAGAATCCAAACTTGCATAGATATTGGTGGCCGAACAAACTCTAATAGATTGCATAAAGGCAGGAATACAGAGTGAGGCTTTTGTGTCAGCCATTTCAAGTGCTCAACTGGTGTAAGAGAGAGGGAAAATAAGTTAAAAATGCTAGGATCTGAAATGGCTAAAGAGGGAGAGGAATGAGTATGGGTGAGTGTAACTCAAAATGAGTCAAGTGAGTGATACAGGTGATGTTGGCCCACCTCAATCTCACATAATTCAGAGCTTATTATATTGCCATAATGAGGTAGAAATGGCATCCTAGTTAGCATAGTCTGGCCTTTTATCAAAGACTATGTTCCTGTATCCTTGGTGCAAGCTGTTGTTTCAGTGAGGTCCTCTCATATCCAATATATGGTTTCTGTTCATAGTCAATACTTGATGGACCTTGGGTGACAGAAGTTTATTGCTGGCCTAGGCCTGCAACCAGACATTCTTCTTGGGTTAGTTAGGCTTAGAACAAAGAAAAAGATACTATCCTTGGAGAGAATGGAAAAACAGCTTGAGCTCAGTCTTATTACTATTTAAAAGCTCTACAGGTCATATATTATAGACATCTAAACCTATATATCTTCCAAAAATGATGTGCAGTTTCATTAAGCAGTAACAATGAAGTGAGTAGTACTCTTTATCCTTGTCTGTGTATAGCTTATAGTCTATTACTCAGAACCAAGGTGCACTTTGGATTATTGAGCTAACTTTCCTACTATACCTACTCTAGACCTCTGTCTCACTGTATCTGTATGCTAATCAGATGAATCTATGCTAAGCATACCAGCTTATGACTCTTATCAAACAGAAATTTATGAATCTAGAAATGATATGCCCAACAGACTACACTCCATGTATTGGCTCATTGACTGACAATGGCAGCTTTCTACTTGCTACTACTACTGCTAAGATGTGTACTGTGCTGCAGCATAACTTCTATACCATCATCATTTAATCTGCTCAGCTTGAGGACTGTAGCTACTAACATTTTATTGTATTTTGTTTAGATAATTTCACCCTGGATCCTGTACCAGATGCAGATGAGGCATCTCAACCCATGGATGAGCTAGCTGCTGTCCCAGATGAAGAATAAGACACTGATGATAGTATGGTGGTTGTCACAACCCAATAACAAATTAACGCTGAGCAGAGACTAGGACTCAAACAAAAGATAATCACAACAAAAGGTAATAGTATTGAGCAGGTACGTCCAGGCTGGTACACAATGTACAGACGAGAGGTTTGAACTAGAGAACTACCAACTACAACAGACTACCTATATACATATATTGAGACAGAGATTGAAACTGAGACTGAACTAGCTACCAATCAGAATAATTAAAGGTATCATATGATTCTATATATATCTATGATGTCATAACACATGCCACAGCTGCAGCAAGGCTCTGGAACATTCCAAGGGTATCATGTGTAGTGATGTCATCAAGTCCGGGTTCTTCTGATAAGTCACATGACCTAGGCATGGGTAATTCTAGTAATTCAATAATAGAGGCAGACATAGGAATATCTTCAACAGTAAATATGTTCTTTGAAGTAGATGCCGTGGCAGGGTGCTTAGAATTTACGAAAGAATAGTGGTTCATATTGGGTACTCGTGATAGTGGTGCAATTCCAGGAAGTAGAGGAAGATTTTGTAGACAGTCATGGTGATGTTATACAGTGGCTCAAAAAAGTGTCCAAATGTTTATAGCTTTTCATGTAATTGCTTTATCATGTGTTAGAACATGGGAATATGACTAAGCTACAGCATCTAAAATTCTGACTTGGTGCAAATATAGTTTAAAACTCTTGTAAGACTCTCATGAGAGTTGCCATTTTGGTTAGCTTGAATCTAGTTTGTAAATACCTGGTTTTGGATATGTTTGAATCCTGAGCCAAGTTTCACACATTTGGATGCGAGATTTGAAGATTATCGATGCAATGTGAGATTATCAGTGCAATAAATGCATTATCCAGTATTACTAGTACAATCAAAACTATCTGATATGGTTGACCTGTCTGTGATATAGCAGTAATAGTATAGAATCTATGAGGGTGCCTGCGACGGTCCAATCACTAACATGTACTGCAAAAAGTTGTGAAACTGCACTCGCTCATCACTGGAAAGGTTGTTCATTGCACTGAGAATATACAGGAACTTGCGATTGGATCCCATTCCTCCAAAACCATCCATTTTCACCAGAACTTCATACTGTTCATCGAGGCTGCAGAATGTCGCTGCGCCGGCAAGTGCCCACATGAACTTCAAATTATCGATTTGTTGTTCCTCAGTCTTGCCGAGGAACTCTTGGTGCAACCTGTGCCAAACAAAACAGATAATATTGCACATGATGAACATATTTTGGAATTTAGCCTTGATTTTGACCTGTCCATTCTGAAAAGATTGAGCTGCCCCCAACAACACACACGAATGAAAACTTACTTGATCGAAGCTATAAACATGCATGAAAGCGAGTCCATCACCATCTTTTGTGATCTTGTCGATTAAGTGTTTGTGATAGATGACAGCGGGTGTGGCAATATGCAGTTGAGGGAAAAGCCGATATGCATGGAAGACGCCCTTGCACGTGTATTCGGCGAATTTGCCGCAAGTTGACAACAATGCATTCATAACATCATTGCGATGTTTATTTGAGATAAAATCTTTGAATGTTGCTAATAAAACAAGTCAGTATGATGTTAATGGACATATGATACTCACCATTAGGTGCAAAGCAATGTGGTACTGAGTCCCAGATAACTTTGTTCAGCATGATTTTCTTGGCGGCTTTGTCAACTGCCATAGCCTTTTCTCCAAATAATTCATGTGTGACCAATTGTGTTGCCATTTTCATGGACTGGCCAATGATGTCATCCAATAGTTTGATGCATGCAGGTTGAGGCATTGACAATGTTACAGATTGCAAAGTTGAATCTTCGACTGCAGATGGTAGAGATTCTGAATTGCCCTGCGGGCATGTGGAAGGGTAAGGGATCATATGTGGCATAGGTGGCATCGCTCGTCGGGCTCGCTTCATTGTTTCCCTTGGTGGGCCCATTGTCTAGGTGAGTGGTAAGCAGGAAATGAATTGAAGAAAAACAAGAACTCACGTGCATCACATCAGTTGGCGGAATCTCACCTCGCTGGATCAGCGTCATCTCCAACGCGCTCATGCTTGTACCAGTACCCTGGAGGGGGGTACTACTTGAAGGAAAGTTGTGGCTGAAGCCTTGAGGTAAGGATTCGAAAGAAGAGCCCTGGAAGGGGTCCTCCAAGGATGAAGTGCTGTAGTATTGGCCATGAGGGAAGCGGCCGTCGAGGTCAGTGTCCTGCATATTCCAGCCATAGAATGCTGTGAAATCGTGAGAGTCATCAGTGAACAAAAGTGTGATTGACTCACATGTGCTCCCACTTGATATGGGGGTAGGAACTCCTCCACTGGGTGCATGTGCATTGAAGTTGAACTGAGACATATACAGTTGCTCAGTAGGAATGTGAAGCTGGCCAGTTGCTGGTTCACCAGATGGATTGAGGCCAGAACTGCGTGGCGGTTTTGGAACTTTAGCTTTGGTTTTTTGCTGAGGGCCATGCTTATTAGGCATTCAAGGTTGGAGGGGATGTGAGAGTGCATGTGTGCATTTAAGTTGCGAAACAACGTAATGGTACATAGGGGGAAAAGAAACACAAACTTTACACAAACTTTACAAACCAGGAATGTGTGGCGAGCTGATAAGATGATTTTACAAAAAAAGCAAGGCCATTTACTAACGAAGTGTAAAAAGAAGGGGGGGCATGGTCTGATAAGATGACTTATGAATGGGAGAAAAAGATCTATGAATAGCTGGAGCGGGCAAAGCACTTTATTGAACAGTCAAAGTGTGTTTATGAACGGTTGAAGCATGTTACGGACAGGTGAAGTAAGTCAGTATCAGTTGATAACAATCTATGAACAGTGACACAAATGAATTGAGTGTCACTGATATTGATCAGTGAGTGGCGTGAACAACTTAGCAGTCACATACCATTGATAGTCACAACTGCAAATGCTGCTGGCCTGGCCACCCACTATGATGATCCTCCTCTTCGCCAAAATTGATATTGGAGTTGGTATTGGTATTGGTACTGGCATCCATGAAACCAAGACCATGATATTACTATTCTATCATGTCCAGCACAGATTCAAGACATCAAACCTATTGATAGACAGAGGATGGATAATGGAACTGAGGATATGCACACTAATATGTAACTGAAGTGCTAGTGCTAGCAAGCATACACTGAAGTGCTAAGTGTACCAAATAAAATATGAGTCACTGTATTTGGAAAGTGATTAAGACAGTGGACAAATAGATCTCTATAAGACTACAAAGATATGAGTTTCTACACCAGATCCATTACTATAATGCTAAGCACAGAAAGTATGAACAAAATGTAGGAATTTTAAAGGAGTGAGGTTTAGAGCAAGTGTGAGCAGAGGTATATTATAAGGTAAGGGAAAGTCTAGGTGATCCAAGTATAAGGAACCTAATAGGGGCTAACTAGCATGCACTATATGTGACTACTTCTATAGTAAATCTAAGAGAGATATATATAAAGTTCACTAATTTTTCAGAACTTTAACATTATTTTCCTTTTGTTGTATACCTTAAAATTAGTTACCTATGGTGTGTATTATTTAGTCTCTATTAGTTCCCTATACCTGGAATACCTAGACTATCTCTTGCCTTGTAATATATCTTTGCTCATACTTACTCTAAATTTTACTCCCTTAAAATCCCTATATTCTGTTTACATTTTCTATACTTTCTATAGTGTATGACTTAGATACACAATATATACAGTGAACTCATTTTATATTATAGCAGCTGATATGCCTAACTTATTTTAGGTTATATCAAATACATTAAAATATAATATATGGAAACTATATTTCATAGGTGAAGACTACATAGTATATGCATTATGTTAAGAAAATCTACAAATTATTATAATAGTAGCTATGTAAGTGTGACTTGTATAGTATAATGTAGCTATTGGTAATAGTAATGTATTACTATGACAGCTGTATAGGTGTAAGAGGTTGCTATACAGTAATAATAAAGAAGGTGTTATTATGAGGCTATAATAGCTATATATGATATAAAGTATACCCTAATTTTTTAAGAAGTTTCAAATATTATTCATAATATTCTATCTTAGTAAAGGTTTCATTAACTTAACTTTTACTATAATTAGCTGTTATAGTGTACAAATCATCATCCTAAGCCTGGTACTCATTTTAATTATTTCTCACTACTATAGGCTGGAGTCTATCTATTGGATCCAAGGCAATATGGTTAGGTAAGTTGTAGTAGTGGACTAATTAGAAACTAATTTTACATATATGATCATAGACATAGGAACACAGATTGTTTTAGTGTGATATGGTCTTATTATATTTGTATTGATCATGGACATCTACATTGGTCTTCAGTTAAAGTCTTCATAGATCTTAATAATTCTTATTGAGAGTGCTAAAAACTTAATATCATATATACTCTTTATATAGTTATTATATATATAGTAATGTTTTAGTTTGGACCTAATAGTCATACATCTTATCATATTCATTTTTGTTAACCATCCAGATTCAAAATAATATAGATTTTACAATTTTGCAAATTTAATTGCATATTAATGGCAATAATTTCTTATCTTAGTTGGAATATTTATTGTTCTATAAGCTAACTGAATAGGCATAGATTCTGTAAGTTGTTCTAGCCACACCATACCTCTAAGTCAGCCTGTATTACTAGCCAACTATAATAGTTTCAAATGGTAAACTGTCCTCTATTGCTCAAATATTGAGCTTAAAAAAAGCTCAAACTTGGATTGAAATCTAAAGGCACTTATTTCAAGGTCAAGAAAAAAGTGATTTTACATGACCTATAGTCATCTTCAAATGATGACTCAATGTGTTTTGTGGAAGTGTGGCTCCATCTATAGTTAATAGAGATGGAGCAGTCTGTTTACTCAATACTTTGTCTTGCAGTTCCTTTAATTCTAGGTTAGAGTGTATATACACTAAGAGACCTAGTCAATGCAACCCTAGCCGCAATTAACTTATGTATTTTGCTTAAATTGGTCCAATATAACTTAGAGTCAGTACTCTCTTATAGTCCTCTCACTATAAGAAAGGGGCACTACAGTTTCGATACAGTTAACTTGACCATTGATAAATAGATACATGTGATTATACCTAATAAGAATCTTATTGCACTACAGATGACTGGCACTGATGTATGTTTTCTCTCACTTAACATCTAACATCCTAATCACTCTCTAAGAAATGGTCTGAGGAGAGCTGCAGGAGCTCAACTACTGTTACTAGCACTGACTAGTTAGTGTTGATATTAGATGACTTCCAAAGCAAAAACCCTAATTGCAAGGCTAACTAAAAGACATTATGAGATATAATGCAGATATATTAGATGGCAAGGTATGCCTATGGGCTGTTCTGAAGATCAATCTAGCCAATGTACAACTTGGTAAGTATTACTATATCCTCTTATCCTCTATTTACTTAGTGCTGCAGGCTAATGTAGAGGAAGGCTAGTGTAAAATAAACCAATTTGTTGAAACCCTCACTAATTATGATGGTATGACAGTTACATTGGTAAAAACACCATAGTTTTTCATGAAACAAAAGATCTAGAACATAGACAATTATACAAAGGTTGAACTTAGTGGGGATAAAATGATCAGAGGCTTTTGTATTAGGCTAAGTGAGTTATTTGTTTATTACTTATAGCAGATCTGACTATGGTTAGGTAAGTTATGGTAGTAGAATAATTAGAAACTAATTTCATACATATGACCAACATAGCTTATTTCAGTGTTATATGGTCTTATTATATTTGTATTTATTATGAACATCTATATCGGTCTTCAGTTAAAGTCTTCATGGATCTCAACAATCCTTATGGAGAATGCTAGAGACTTAATATCATATATACTCTTTATATAGCTATTATATATATATAGTAATGTTTCAGTTTGGACCTAATGATTATCATATTCAAAGGTCTTTTATTAGAGCTACAAAGTTAGTATTTTAGGCTAAGAGATAATTATCATAAGATAAGAATGTAATTTTTGTATTTGATAAAGAGTTAGCCATGATCTTCTATATTTATTGCACTTTGTTAATTCTAATGCTACTTTTATTAAGTTTGATTATATGTTTTTAAACTTTATGTTCAAACTAGTGGCTCTAATATATCATTTTAAATGAGATATTATTATAATAACATACTATTTCTTTAACATTATAAACACCCTCATAGTACTTAACTTTTCATAATATCAAATTGTTAAAAAGAAGTATTAAGAAAAAAGATTTATTTTAGCTAATAGCTATCTTGCTGCTATATCCTATACTGATTTCTTGTACTGATTTCTTATATCTTATTTAAGTTTTTTCTAGTAGCAATCAGTTAACACTAAAATATTATATACTGTCCTATATCAAACTAGTCTAGTATAACTTACTAATGCTCTTATAAAAGCTTAATACTATAGAGATATAGTCAAATGATTTTCCTGTACTTTGAGCCAAAGCATAGCTTAGGTAGTGATGATTTTGTTTTACTTTTCTAAAACTTAGCTTGTATAAATAATAATTCTTTTCTAATAGAAAAGTAATAGTTAGATGCAATATAAAACATAAATTGATGCATTACATTATGCATAATTAGTTTCTCACTGTTTTTAGCTTAGTTACCAGAAGTTACTAAAATATTAATAAGGTGGCTGAAGAGAATAAGTTGTTATTTTTGTACTTGATTTAATTTATTCTAAGGACTGAAGTGATAAGGATGCCTAAGGTAATTTGAGATAAGATATTTAGAATAAGGCAGCAAAGACAGATAAATTTACACAAGTGAGATTAAAGCTCATTAATAAATGCATATGTTTATTAGTATAACTTTTTTCAAATCATACACCTTATTTACATTCATTTATTTATTAATTAGCCTGTTTAGAAGAGTTAAAAAATAAGTATACAATAAACAAACAGAGATCAAATATAGTAAGTTTTACTGTTACTATCATGTCAATTGTTGATTAACAAGACAGTAGTACAGTACATGGCTTTGAAATTGTGTTGTTGTAGATAAGGGACCTAAAAAAGATATCAGTAGTTGGATATAGTGGTTTATGCAAAGGAAGCAATTAGGGCAGAGGCAATAGTAGAAGAAATAGGAGTCTTGTTTGATTTCTAAAAGAGGGCAAAGAGCTGGTTCTAATACAGAAAGAGGTCGAATATTTTGCTTAAGTGTACTGTAGATCTTAGGCTATGTATAGACTGGCAAAATTCGCTGAATCCAAATGTTTGCATAGTCGAGGTCCTTCTGACTTTGGATTGAGATGCAAAGCTCCCGCAGTGATTGGAACCAGCCCTTGATAGAGCCAAAAAATGCTCTGAACAAACACAGACCTAGACATTGGGTAAGTACAGTGGCTCAAAAAGTGCCCCAATGTTTGTAGGTTTTCATGTAATGTTGTATTGCCATTCATACTCACTGTTGATAGGTTATAGTTGAACATTTTTTGGTCCAGCATCAAACTCCCTCCCGGCAGCCGTTTATATAGTGGCACACACCAGGTTCATGCAGCACGAGCTCACACCCGTTGTGCCTTCAGCACAAATCAAAGGAGCGCTACGTGCTCCTTCAGGGGAGGAAAATGAGTGTTGTTCCTTTGTCACAGGAAGCCAAGGAGGGCTACGCCCTCCTTTGGCTTCCTGGCCTCAGGCTGCATCCTAATAAATTGTGCATTTTGAATAATTTTGAAAATACATTTATGAGCAGTTCAAAAACACTAAAAGTACAATCTACCACCACATAAAGTACATAGTACATAGTAAGATCAGTCAGTTCTACATTCTTTGAGCAGGATTCTGACAAAATTACAAAATATATAACAGTATCATTGGATGTATTTATTTTCCCATCTTTGCCTGTCGGAAAAAAGTTCCCAGGGTTTTAAGGCCTTGCAAGACATTTTAATGCTCTATTTGGAGGGTGTCCTTATAAGGGCTTTTAAACAGGTAAGATAATATTTTAATGCCCATTAAAAGGCACTTATAAGGGCCCTTTTGATGACCTTATGTTGAGTTTTGCCTCGCTGTGCCTCAGAATGGCCTGTTAAAATGCCTTGTAAGGCCCTCTTAAGGTGCTGAGCTGAACTTGTAATCTGGCAGTATTACAATGGTACCTAACTTTTTTCTGACACCTACCCATCTCCCAATTGTCTCCTACATCCTCCCGTCTCCCGTCTCCCGTCTCCCGTCTCCCGTCTCCCGTCTCCCGTCTCCCGTCTCCCGTCTCCCGTCTCCCGTCTCCCGTCTCCCGTCTCCCGTCTCCCGTCTCCCGTCTCCCGTCTCCCGTCTCCCGTCTCCCATCTCCCGTCTCCCGTCTCCCGTCTCCCGTCTCCCGTTCTCCAGTTTTTGAGTCTACATTGTCTTTGTCTCTTTTTATTTGAATCTTATCTCCTGTCACCACATTTGTTATCTCCCTGTCTGTAATTGTATCATATGTTGTTCCATTTATGTACATATACAGCCACTACTAATGATTACAGTAGGCAAAACACTCAAATGAGTCAAATCCTGTTGTCCCCCTGCTCAAACACATTATTTAATGCCATGTATTACCAACATTGTGCTAAGTTTCCAATGGGTGACATTATTCTATTCTCCAAGTTTCCCCGTCTCCTGTTCTCCCAGTTTCACAGTTTCCTGATTTCTTGTCCTTCCATTCTCCAATTTTTGAGTCTACATTGTCTTTTGCTCCCTTTTTTGATTTTTCACAGCTCTTTTCTACTGATCTCTTTTATCTCCTTCACCCCATATATTTGTTGTTCCATTTTAGTTTTATTATTTACTGTATGTATGTACCGGGAAAATACTTGTGGAAAATACTTGTGTTGCGTAGTGCGCTGCTCTAATAGGCAAGTGAGTCGGCGCTCGAAAGCCACGCGAGAAAACCACGCGAGATTTCCAAAAACAGGTTTAAGCGAGCTAAGCGCTCCCATGTGGCCTTTAGCGAAAGCCACGCGAGCGCCCGTGCGTTTCCGAAAACCGTCGTACTTTACTTCTTAGATATGCTAAATCCACCCACAGCCACTCTCCTGCCCAAAAAATGACTTGGGATCCCAGGAAACTCTTGTCAGCACAAATACATTTGAGTTATGGAGATTTCCAGGTATGCCAATGACATAGTCCATGATACAAAGATTGTAAGGTAATATAACAATCTTTTTAATGGTAAGTCACTGCGCTGCACATTGAACTGACACTTATCTGCACTGTTAGAGAATAGTCTAAGTTCTTACCAAAGAAACCCTCCCTGTGCCAATCTGGCTTCTTGTGTAAGGGGGATGGAGTCCTATCTACAGAAAGAAAGCCTCCATGTCATTCATGACATGTCTTACTTTCGATGTAAGTTTTTGCCTGCTCTTGCTCAATTTGATCCTCATGATCAAGCGGATCAAAATAAATAGCCTGGTCATGAAGTTGAAGGATTGCGATCATCACCCCTTTGTAGCAGTTGTAGATGGTCCCCACAAATACTCCAGCCCAGTCAGATATATCTTCAGTGGTTGTGGCATTGCCATAATGGCCAGTGCTATTGAGAAAAATGGCGAGCTGTATTGAGACAGAGAGCTGGGGGATATCCGAATTGTTGTAGAAGATGGCGTGTCCTTGAATCAACTTCATAAGTTCATCAAATACATCCACATCAACATGGAGCTTGCAACAAATTTTTTCAGGTGAGAATAGAGCCCACTCCTCTAGCAAGTGTAGCTGAGGCACACAACTTAGAGATGGATGGACATCAAGGACTCAACATTTCTCTACCTCATTGTGCAGTGCAGTGATTGCATTGGCAACTGAGTAAAGACTTGTTCGCACATGTCTGGGATATCACATGATAGGAATTCAGAGTATGCTGTGGAGAGTGACATCAGAGAGTTGTTTGACAAGGCAGACATGATCGATGATGTGGGAGACACTAGGGACTCTGGCCATGTTGGTGATGTGGTCCATATACTAATATCTGAGCCACTATGGCCATTGACAGCATTATCAAATTCCTTATCAGAGTCTTCATCATTGTCTTCATTGTTGTCTTCATCTAGTAGCTGATCTATCATAAACTCAATTAGTTCCATATATCGCGCAATGATAAGGTCATTTCTGGTTTGTTTGAGGCTGCAAAGCAGCTTCTTTCAATCTGATTCATGGAGCATATTAATGGAGCTACAGAACACTATAGCAGATAGTACAAAGCTTAGGGTTTATTTGTCAGTGTTGGAGCTTCAATACTACTAGCAATGCGCAAATTTCTGACCTTCCAAAATTCTATGAAGTCAACTTTGAGAACCACTAATGATAAGAGTGACTGATTGTAAAACACTTTTCTCCTTTGGTATAGTGTTGGACAGAGAGAAGAGTAAAGCTAGTGAGTACTGGTACACAGACAGCAAGTGTGATGTTCAAGAGTAAAATTATGTAACCTCACATAGTCAACAAAGTCATGTATACATTCAAATAAAAGACTTACAGTTAAAACATAGTGCTGCAAGAACACAGAGCTCTGGGGATATTAGAAATGTGATGGGAAATATAAATAGCATCTGAATAAAAAAATATTTAAAAAATAGTCCAAAACTGAGAAACTTACCTTGCACATCAGAAAGCAGCCAAAAGCATAGGGATCACATTTCTGATATAGCTGACAGTTACCATTAGCAGCCTCTGATAATAGCCTTCTTATATTAGCAAGTATTTAGAGAATAAACCATTTATTTGTAGTATTACTAGCAGTAAGTGAAATAGCAAAGATCATACTGAGAACAGCTAGTCTTTACTATCAATAGTTTTGCGAAAGGAGCGGTACATCAGGAAAAAGGGATTTTGCCATTTTTGGCTTTATATTCAAATAGAGCCACAATGGGCTATATTTGAATATATGTATGCTATAGTTGCAACTTGAATGATATTATAGTTAGACTCTTTAGGAAAAAGGGTATTTGCTCATTTGATGTATCTAAATCTGCAATTATAGTAACTATAGTTGATTGTAGTTGGCTGTAGTCAGCTTTTCATCGGAAAAAGTTCCCACGGTCAAAGTGCTTTCTTGAACCATCCACTTTCAAGTATTTTGCTTATAACTCACTAGGATCTTAACCTATTGATGTCATAAGACTATGGATAGACTTTCCTTGACAAGGGCTATGACTTTGATTTTCATTGGAAAAGTTCCCACGGTCAAGGTGCTTTCTTGAACTGTCCACTTTTGAGTATTTTGCTTATAACTCACTAGGATCTTAACCTATTGATGTCATCAGACTATGGATAGACTTTCCTTGACAAGGGCTATAACTTTGATTTTCATCGGAAAATGTTCCCACGGTCAAGTAAGCAAAATGCGAAAATTCACCAAGTCAAAATTCACTAAGTCTTGTGATGTGGCTTTGTTTGGCACAGCTTATATAAGCAAAAGTGTGGTCAACCACAAGTCTTTTCCTATCTTTTCCTTCCTTTCTCTCCTCCTCATTCTCCTTCTAGTCAATAATTTTCGCATTTTTGAGTATTTGGTAAGTCTTTTCTTCTTCTTTTCCTTCCCTCTCTGACCCTCTCCTTCTAGCTCCTTCTTCCTTCCCTCCTCCTCCTCCTACTCAATCATTTTCACATTTTTGACCATTTGGTAAGTCTTTCTCTCTTCTTCCTCTTCCCTCTCTGACACCCCTTCTTCTAGCTCCTCATTTTCGCACTTTTGAGTATTTGGTGAGTCTCCTCTTCTTCTTCTTCTTCTTCCCTCTCTGACATCCCTTCTAGCTCCTCCTCCTCCTTCCCTCCCCCCCCTTCTCCTCCCACCACTCAAGGATTTTCGCACTTTTGAGTATTTGGTGAGTCTCCTCCTCCTCTTCTTCCCTCTCTGATACCCCTTCTAGCTGCTCCTCCTTCTTCCCTCTCTCCTCCTCCTCCTCCTCCTACTATAGGCTCATCCTCTCCAATTTTCGCATTTTTGGCTATTTAGTAAGTCCCTTTTTATTTTCCTATCTTTCCTCTCTGACTCCCTCTTATACTAGTAGCCTTCTGCCCTTCTCCTCCTCCTCCTCCTCTCTTAATTTTCGCATTTTTGCCTCTTTTGTAGTTAGTAGTTTACACCTGTTATAGTAATTACTTGAAATATTACTTGAATTTTCGCTTTTTTGGTGTTTTGACTAGAATATAAATGCAAATATAGTGCATTAGAGGAAAAAAATTAAGGTGCCTCCAAATTTTGGCAGTTGAATATATGTGCATAAATGTGCTACTGGCTACACAAGTTGACTATATGTGACTATATGTCCTCTCTATAGAGGGGGGGATTGCTTTAGATCCTATGAGGTCTATAGACACTATATATTCATATATAGTGCTATATGAGCTAATATAGCAATAACCCTTTTTCCTGATGTAGATCCATCTCATTTCAAAGACCCCAGTCAGATAAATCTCAGTGTTTTGGAGTAGGCTTCAGCGACATATTTTCTGGTACCAGCTTGCTGACTCTTGATAGAAGATTTCCCTATAGGTACAGCATACCAATGATGACAGCTCAGGTACAGACAATGAGATGACCACTCCAGTTGAAGACCTTAGATGGACTCAGACAAATCACTAGGAAGGCTAGAACTGTTAAGTAGGTAGGTAACTAGAACTGATTTAATTGTTGAAGGTGTCCGATTTCTTAACTTCTGTCTGTGGTAGAAGTGCTCTATGTAAACCAATAGGTGAGTAGTAGGCACAAGACTAGATGTAATGTCACAGACAAAACCATACTGCCCAAATTATATTCCCACTGCAGCTAACAAGAGACAGATGATAGTAGTGGGTGAGAAGAGTGTACTGGGGTATGCAATTGTTCAAAGCACACAGTGGACTACCCGTTGGACAACCAGATTTCAAGTAGACCATTAAAGTCCTCTGAGTCTAAGTCAGAGCTGGAGTTGGTGGGTGCCTCCAAGTGAGCCCACTTGGAAGCTTCATCATGATGGTAGATATCTTGGCACTGTTTGCGTGTCATACCAGTGGGTTTCCAAATAAATTTACTTGAAAAATGTGTGACAACTTATTTTCTATGCTTTTAATGAGCAGTGGCTATCTGAGAATGGTGAGCAGAAATGTATTCGGTGTGAGTGTGAATATACATGAAGGTTCTAATGATTAGGATAGATGGGGGAAATGTTTGGGTAAAAGCCCGAAGGGCTTTTGGCCCGGCATATGTGTCTGAACCTAAGGGTTTCAAGGTGAGCTGTGATCCCATAGACGTAGGAGAGTAGCAACACAGACTGTGAAGCTTGACACCCTCTAGTGATAGGAGCTGTACTCACCCGAAATTCTCAATGCACTGGAGGTAGTGTTTGGCGTGAGAAAGGTTCGAGTGCTGGAGATAAGGCTTGGATGTAAGGGGTGATGACGATTGCGTGGTCTCTTAGATAAATAGTGAAAGCATCAGTCTAGCTTCTGGTGAAGCGGGAGGGGAACACTTTTGGGTGCTAACAGAGTGTGAGTGCTGCTGCTGGTTCCTATTTGACCCTGTTGCCTCAATGGCACGGGACTGGTGTGGTTGGCACATGATGGCCGGCAGTGATGGAGATCACATTGTGTTTGGATTGTGTTGTCCAGTTACGCAGGTTGTATTTGGTTGGCAGAACGTGATGTCCGCCGGTGGTTGGGTTTTGTTTAGACGTGATGCCAAACAGGTATGGGGAAGGTACAAAGTAGATAGACACGTAGAGTGTACTTAGTTTTGATTCTGGAATGAAAATAATGAGGGTGAGCATACCTGACTAGACAATAGCTGCATTCTAAACTGATAAAATATCGTTTCGTGAGCTTCATTTAGCAATTCTTGATTGATTTTTGCTAGGCTCCAGCTATTGGAACTTCCAACGGCGAGGTGCCAACGTTTGCATTGTTGGGCTTGGTATAGCCATAATGTGCGTTGCTTGTGGACGTCGAAGTCATGGCACCATCTGTGGTTCTGCAATGCAGACCAGAAAGCGATGTGCATATTCACCTGGTCATCCAGCCAGTCGTTGTCCTTCATGAGGGTGATCATGCGAGGAGCTGACTTATTGAACTATTCCCAGGTGAGATTTTCGTCTTTGATAACTTGGACTTTGGGGTCTTTGGCAGCACCAGCTGGTATGCACTTGTGTAAGCCATCGGATGAGGGTAGAATTACTAGCGCATCTTTGTCCGCTGTGAAGGCTGATCGAGACGCTTCTTCAAGACTGCTGTTAGTGAAGTAGAATAGTTCACAGTAATCACCAGACTTCATTTTCCACGTGGCATATTGACATGGGAGGATGATGGGATCCAATGTAATTTCAATGTCCTTGACTAGAGCATATTTGGCTTTATTCTTTTTGCACTCCTCTTTAATGGCTGCTTTTTGTTCTGCCTTCAACGCTTGCTAACATTGAGCTTCTTCTTCTGTGGCTTCTCTGCGCTCGGCTTCAGCTTCTCGGGCTTCGGCTTTGAGTCTGATCGTCCAGAGACGCTTATCTGCATCATTCTGGATGTGCCAGAGGTTGGCTAAGATGGTTGCTGCTTGCCGGTCATTAATGGCCTCATTGACGAGTTGAGCTCTTGCTTCTGTGTATTCAGGCAACTGGAAATCGGGAGCAATTGCAAGGTTTGGGTTCATTGTTGGGAGAGGTATAGTAGGGAATGTGGAATTTGCAAATAAATAACAGAAAAGGTAAAGAAGACAATGAGGGACTACTACTGATGTAGTGATTCGAGAATTGGCTACTGACGTGGGTCAGAACAAGGTGTGTTAATGCCACCTTACTTACTCATGCATGAATTAAATTCTGTGACAGCCAAGGCACGAGGCTGTCACAGAATACTATCTTTTCTCTGTTGCTTTAGTATTAGGAAAGTATAACTACAGTAGATATAAAATTTAGCTATGAATACATATTTATTTCAAACAATTGTTATACAGATATGACAATTAGGTGTCATGAGGTGCTGGTCAGAGAAAGGAACAAGTTCAGAAACCTACACTACATCAGTGAGAGGTTATAGGAAGTTAGTGAGGTGCTGAAGGATGTAGTATGAGGCGGTGGGAGATGCAGTTGCACTTGCTGAGAAGGGATGTTCAGTAGATGATAGCCTGCATTTAATGAACCCACATAACAAGTAGTGAAGGAGAGACATTTAGCAGACAATGTCCTATATTTAACAAACCTGCACAATGAGTAGCAAGGAGAGACATTTAGCAGACTATAGCCTATATTTAACAAACCCACACAAAGAGTAGCAAAGGAGGGACATTCAGCAGATGATAGCCTGCATTTAATAAACCTGCACAATGAGTAGCAAGGAGGGATGCTCAGCAGAGTTATAAGCACTGAGCAGTATCAAAAGTAAGTACTTGTCAACAACTCATTCATATAGTAAAAAGTATAGTATCCTCTCAAATGCAACAATATGTCACACCAAAGTACTGATCAATCATTGGAACAATTAAAATGGTTCCACTTCATGCATTATACCCACCCATAATAGTTTATCAGCAGCCTGAACCTCTAGCTTAGATGATCAACTCCCAGCCTCAACCAGGAAGGAAAGTTTTCACTGTCTTCAAATACTTTGTGGATTGTGGATGATGGTTATGGACCTTATGTCATATTCAATCTTGGAAAGACCCTCCATGGCAACTTAGAGAGAATAATAGACATGTTAGGTCATGGGCAGGCAGCACTTTAGCCTGTGCAGCTCTATGGAATTGTTCTTCCCCACTAATGGACTCTGTCTATAAAATCTTATTTGCTAGATGGATGAGTTATCTCCTCATTAGTAATATGCAACCACCTCCTTTAGCCACTGCTCGTGTATAAGTAGCACCCAGATGCCAAATTTGATAATCTTATATATCAGCTTAAGGTCCTTGTTTCTAGTTTCTAAAGTATTGTTAGGGTCACCCATCATGTCTGATTACTCGAGCAGGTGTCTAGTGGTAATTTAGATCTCATGTAATTAGAAACAGCCTTGTAGTCTCTGTTGAGGATGTTTTTGGTATACCTAGGGGTTTGGGAATGGGCTAGAGTGAGCCAAAGATTGATGGAAAGTGGAACCACCTTCATGCTGTGGGAAAAGTATGCAAACACCCACAGCTGATTCTTTAAGGTTGACAGTTTCTTAAATGGAGTTTGCAATCTACTTTATGAGCTTCCTTGTAGCAACCATACAGCCAGCGTGTTCTTTCAAAGATGCAGCTGTAGTGCAGTGTTTAGGATTTGACTTGATGAGAATAGCATACAGAGACATTTGATGTCGCCAATTTCAGCTTTAACCTTGAGAATGACTTAGCAGTTTGAGTTAGACCTTTGGATGGATGGAGGTAGTAGGACCAGAAGCAATAACTGTCCCAGCAATCTACGACACAATGAGCATGATACAATGAGAACTATGAAAAGCAGATCCACTTGACCTGGCTTCAAAGACAAGATCTTATTGCGAGTTTTGAAGTTGTAGTGCCAGCATCAGCAGAAGTCTTAACATCCCTCTTCATTTTAGCCTGGGACTTGGTATGCTCATGTGGGGGTCCACAAGCTTGGATTCCAAAGGAAGAGCCTTACTTAATGGATCAACAGTGCCCTCGAGCTTTACCTTCTTTGTAGGGATAGCACCCCACAAAAATCAGTTATCAAATAATTGCTTCATCGGTCTGAGAAAGCCTTGTGAATTTGAAAGTAGAGGCATATAGTGATGGCTCACCCCATTCCTTCATATCCATCTAATGTATGAGATACCTCTAACTTGGGGCTGCCATGCACTGCGCTCTTCAAAAGCCCTTCTACTTTTAGGTCATAGTTTGGATCTTGGGTTGACTCACAGCACAAGGGGGCCATTTGTTCGAGGAAAATATCTACAGTAGAGAAGCTCTGTATGCTGCCACATGAAGCCACACCATCCTGCAGTGATGGAAAGCTGTCAATTGCAATCATCTGTGGGCTGTGGGCATCAGGGCTAAGGACCTAACTCACCTCCGATTCACTGCAGCCTCTACAGCAAGCCCTGTTAGCACTGGCAAAGTTGTGAGTCAAGAAACAACTTAGTGTAGCTACTTATGTACGGCCTCTGAATTACATTTAGTAGTCAAACTTACGACTACCTCAATTCACCACACTTAAGTTTGTCAGAGGCTTCAAAAAGGCCAAATAGAATTTGACAGCAAGGGGTAAGCACAAAAGGCTGCACAGGTAGCTTTGAGGTAAATAATAGTATTGAGCTTCTGCAATAGCCAAGCAGCACACACAGCTTAGGAAAAAATGACCACACCAAGCCCATGTGACTGCTGAGCTGCATGGCCTTGGTCTGTGTAGTGGTCACTCAGCTTTAGGGCAAATGGCTGTACTAAGCTTCACAATGTTATCACAGCATGAAGCTCACAATCAGCTTCTAACAAGAGCCAAAGAAACAGCCCCAAGAAAATGGAGAAAGGGGTGTGCCTCAAATCAAAGTAAGGCACATCTGCTTTATGTTATTGGCCAGTGTGTCTGCAACTGCTCTAGTGCTCATTTACTGAAGAGCAAATCAGAGATAGGCTTCAAACATTAGTAGCAAACTGTTCTTTTTGGAAAGGATAGTTGTATGCTTCTGAAAGCCTCCTTTTGAGTTTTGATAAAAGAACTCACCACTTCAGAAATAGGTGCTGGAGACAATAGAATTAATGGATGAGGCAACAGGAGATGATATTGCAAATAACCTACATATATTATTATTGAGCAATAGATAAATTTGCTGAAGATTCTGATAGTAGACAAAGAAGTTATGAAAATGAATGAAGGTTGTGTGATGAAGACAGACATAGTAATCACCTTGCTTGGATCATATACCATGTGATCTGTGGAATGTCCACTTGTTGAAATAAATTTTGAAATGCTCCTTTGACTTTGGAGTCATTATTGGTGACTATCTGTCCAATTGCTCCATATTAGCAATACAAATCTTCACAGAAAACTTGGCCATAGCTTTGGCAGAGGCAAATTATATATAATGCTCTTCCTTTTATATATCATGAAAGATCATCTCAAGCTAACACTAGATGCTTCATATCATTCCTGGCAGGCATCTTGAGTATGTCAATGTAGATCTTTGTAAAGATTGTGGCAGAGACTGTGATAGGTATATGCATTTTCTTGGTGCTTTAAATCTGACAATCATGACAAGATTGTATATGGTGCTTAACATCAGTATATATATATGTGACTGGAAGAATCTGTATTGAATAGTCTCAAAGGTAGACTATACTCCTTTGTGGCCTAATTCTTCATGTGCTCCTGTCAATATAGACAGTTGTTTAGCAGGGTCAAAAATAACAAGTAAAGGGAGTCTATCTGGTAGACACTTGTACATCTTTCTCTTTTGTACAAAAAATCAAGTTGTATATTTAACAAATTTCTTATGTTTTGCAGTACTTTCGAAATTTGGTGCTTCCAGTGTGGTAAGGAACTTGAAAATATCTGTCAAAGTTTGCTCTTAATCAGTAGCTGACAAAAACACAGATGATATGTTATTAGGTTATATGGATGTATAGTGGGATTTGAGATTGATATGAATAAAGCTATTTCATCTAACCAAGAGTCATCTTCAGGGATGATCTCTTCATCTGAAGCTAAAGGGCATCTAGATAAGCCACCAGGCCCTCTAAAACTTGTTGCTGGAACATGGTAAAGTGTGAAATTAAATAGAAGAATTTCTTAAACCTATCTATTGATTATAGCATTTGGTTGTAGGTCAGGCTCATTAAGCATGCCCTTAATATATTTTGCATCAACTTCGACATGGAGGTTCTGAACTTCAATAATGTGAAGTCTGTAGTGTCATAGTGCTCTGAAAAGTCCATATAGTTCTAACTTAGGCTGAGAATATTGTGACTCTGCATCACCTATGGGTAAAGAACTATATTATGCTGGATGTCGTCATTCTTCATTGTCTACTTGTGAAAGAATAATTCCTATGACTCTGAAGCTGGAATTAACTGATAGATATATGGGGTTTGAAGAAGTATAGTCAATGCTTCTCATTGCTGGTGCTGAACATATATGTTCTTTCAAAGTTTCAAAGGCAATATCTTGTTTCTCTCCTCAAATAAAAGAGGCATCTTTTCTCCAAAGCTGGGGGATTGATTTTGCTAGTTTAGAAAATCCTAGTATTCAAATATGAACTGGCCCATAAAGTCCCATAAATCCTTGAGCTTCTTTAATTATAATGGAGATTGGCTAGTCAAGAATTTTGGACACTTTCTCAGTATCAGGTAGTCTTTCTTCTGGAGTACAACATTATCCAACTATAAGGACATCTGAAAGGCAACATTGAATTTTTATAGCAGAGAATGTTGCACCTACGTCTTTTATACAGTGCATGATATAGTGAACATCAATTGCATGTTCTCAAATAAATCATCTAAATCCAGAATTTTCTTCTAAGACCTCAGGATTACCTTCATTGTCAGAATAGATAGTCTTTGGACTTTTGACTAAAAGATCATCTATGAAATCATTGGCTATATGTAGAATTTCATCCTATAGTACAAAGCTGGTATATTTCTACAATTCTGCAGATACATTTATATAGCCCATTGGTAAGGCTGTAAGATCTCTGCTTTCTGAGTGCATTTTACATGCATCAAAT